CTCCGACTACGGCTCCTACAGCGCCCAGGCCTGCGCCACCACCGCCGCCAGCGCCACGGCCGCCGCCTCCTTCTCCAGCTCCCAGTGTGACTACACGGACCTGCAGAGCTCCAACTACTACAACCCCTACCCCGGCTACCCCTCCAGCATTTACCAGTATCCCTATTTCCACTCGTCCCGCCGGCCCTACGCGACGCCCATCCTCAACGGCCTGTCCATCCCGCCGGCGCACAGCCCCACCGCTAACTGGGACCAGCCGGTCTATACGACCCTGACGAGGCCTTAAAGGATGTGTGGGGCCCCTCCAGGGCTTCCCAGAAATGTGCACTAATGAAGGAATGAAGAGGAAGAGCGTGGAGTGCCGCGATAGTTTCCAAAGTGCCTCCTGAGCCACTGGGAACTCTGCTCGTTGCGACTGGACGTCCCCTTGCTTCGAAACTCTCCAAAAGGACAGAGCTCTATTTTTTTCTTTGATGAGTATGATTTAAAGTAAAAAAAAAAAACATAATAAAGGACAAGAACGATTCCCAAAAAAATAAAAAAAGCAAACGACAAAGAGAAAAAAAAAACAAACAAAAGCAAAGGACCGGCGATGCCTTTTGAATAAATGAAGGACCTTCGACTCCTCTGTGAGGGCTGGACTGAACTTCCTCGGAGGGGAAGGTGACAAGTGCAAAAGTGGAGCAGGGGAGTGGGAAAAAGGGGGAGAGAAAACAACGGGAAAAGCTGTTTTGAGACTTTAAGGGTCTATTGCAATGTGAGGAACGGACCAACCTTGAGGGGCAAGAACTCACTGGGACCAACAGGGCTGAACCCCGAGAACCCGGCTATTCCATGGAACACTCCCGTGGGAACAAACCAGTCTGGTGGGACCAACCAATTAAATGTCTGAAGTGTTTGTTTTTTGTTTTGTTTTTTTTTTTAGTCAGGAGTTCTTCTAAGCAAGGTTTGGCTGTAATTAACATTTTGTTTTGTTTTTTTTGGAAGCTTAAAATTTTTTTTTTTTGGTTTGTTGGTTTTTTTTTTTTAAATCTGTTAAATATGTATTTATGTTCTGTATTATTTTGTCGTTTAATTAATGAAGTAATTTTGTGCAAGAAAAAAAAAGTAGAATTTTAAAAGATTTTAAAGATGGGGGAGGGAGCATAAAAAAAATAGTGGAGATGATACAATAAAATGGTGTTATGAGTCTATAGATTTTCGTTGGTTTTTGGGTTTTTTTCACATTTGGAACCGCTGCAACAGTCGTGTTGGAGAGAGGGACTGAAGGAATCTGCCCGTTCCAGGCAGACCTGGGATCTCAAATGGGAACATGAAATAATGAGGGGGGGGGGAATTACTAATTCAATTGGGAGGCTAAAACAGTGGCTAAACGGGGCAGGTATTTTTCTGGTTGCCTGCTTTGGGGTGTTAAAATTGGATTTTTAAGGCATTGCGGAGTCTTCGAAGGCTTTCAGCACCAGGACTACTTTATAGGAAGGTGTAATTTAATGAGAAATTATCAACTTCTGCTTAAATTTTGGCTTCTAGGGACCAGATATCATCCATCAAGCTGTGAAACTAAAATCTCCTCCACTAAAAAATGTTTAGGTACTTAGTTTTTAGACTAATATTTCATTGATATATCTCTACTTCTTCCATTGTATGCTGAGCATATAATAACCGTCTATTTTATGGTAACTTGTGCCTTTAAAAACCTTTGTAAATCTAAACCCACGTTTCAGAGGTTATTCATCTTTTTACCTTTTCTACGTTTCCTACTCTTTTTTCTAAAAAATATTTTTTTGCATATTTCCTTTTGGGGGGTCGCGGGGGTGGGGGAAAAAGACAAAAAAAGCTCATTTTTATGCAATCTATTTTTCTGTATAAAGTTTGAAAGACTTTGCCTGTTACTGATCTGTTCTCTTCACTCGCTTCTGACTAAGCAATGCTAACTTTTGTACAGATCCATTTGATAAAATTAAAAATTGCTTTTTATCAAGGACGTGTTCTGTTTTCTTTCTGCTTGAGCCTCTTTCTGTGCTGAGACAAAACGGGGAGAACAGCCCGGAAAGAGACAGATTATTCAGAATAAAATATTTTGGTTAAGGATTTCTTTTCCTTTTAGTCTGTTGTTTTTTTTTTTTTTGTTTTTTTTTTTCCTTGCTCCTTTTCCCTCTACTTTAAAAATGTCTTAGTATGAGATTTTTTTTTTTTAATATATATATTTATTTCATTTTTTCCTTCAAGAAGGGTATTTCCATGCCTGTAATCCCAAGGATTTCTTAGGATTTCAGTGAGACTGCTCACATGAGGATGGGTTTGCAAGGTCAGCCTGCGTGGTTTTGGTCCAAGTTGATTTTCTTCTGTAGAGCACGTAGGAATTTTACAGTCAGAAATTCAGCTTTCTGGTTGGTGAGCCCTTGTAAATACCTCTGAATTATGAGAGCAACAAAATTACATGTTGCATGTCACGGTTGGTTGGTTTTTTCTTTTTAAAATACAGCCATTGAAATAGTTACATTTGCGACTTTTATTTTGCTTTCTTACATAAACGTCAAGTTGCAGTTCGGTTTCACCAGTCCGGGGAGAAAAGGGGACGGGGACTGTGAGGAAAAGGTCGGGATTTTAGGGAATTTCATCCCTCTGTGCCTGAGAAAAGCGCCCGGGCCGTGGGTGTAGGGCAGAGCCGTGCAAAGGGCTTTAACGTGGGGGGGGAGAAAAGAAATGTGCTGACAATTAATGAAGCTCCAGCCCATTAACAAAGTCTGGAGGGCAGAATCCCACGGCAAATGTGCCGTTTGCAGGCTCTGCCAGGAGGGGCTGTAAGGGGACACCATTTTCTCCGTGCTGGTTCACAGAACTCCTGGCAAAACGACTTTATTTGCAGCCGAAGCCAAAGCTGCAGCGTAACTCCCTTCCCTCCCTTCCCCTCCTTCCAGTGACACTGCAACTTTCAAGGCTCCGTCCTGATTTATGCTTGAAAAAGAGCTGTGCTTTGGCTCTGCCTGTCGAGGTGGGGCTTCAGCTCCAAACTGGCACACTTTGGGAGGGGAAAAAGGAGCCAAAAGGTGGGATGGGAAGGTGAGGATTTATCTTTGCTTTCGGCTTGGTGGTCGATAGCGAAGCCTGGAGTGACTTTGCCGGGAGCTGATAAAGCAGAGTTAAAATATCTGTGTGTGATGGACTTATAAATCACCCAGAATAATGATATTAACAATTGCAAATCACCCAAAATGCTGAAGTTAAAGATTGCACTGAAGCATCCCTGGCTCGTGGGAGAGCAGCACCCAGCAGGATGGATCCCGGTCACGGGCTCGGGGAACATCACTGAGCTCTTCCCTCCCTCCTTTTCCTTCTCCCTGTGTTTCCAGCAGCCCTGACTTCCCAGTGTGGGTTGACATCCAGTCCCTGTCCCATCCAGGAGCTGCAGGGTGTGTGTGGAGCTGTGCTCTCCTCCCTTGGGATCCTGGCACCAGCCTGGCCACGGCACCAAGGAATTGCACATCCCAAATAGGCAGCTTTTAATTCCGTTTGCCTTCAGCCACACTCGGTTTTAGCTTTCTGTAAGCTCTGCAAAAATAGAGTTAGCTTTCACTAATATTGGAAGAAACTAATTAATATACAATATAGATGTATTATATAGCATAGATTTATCATAGAATTGGAGTTGGAAGGGACCTGCAAGGATCATCAAAATGCACCTCCTGATTATAGATATTATAGATTATATTGTGTGGTATGGTGACATAAGGCTTGGAATCATGGAATAGTTTGGGTTGGAAGGGACCTTAAAGCCCATCCAGTCCCACCCCCTGCCATGGGCAGGGACACCTCCCACTAGCCCAGGTTGCTCCAAGCCCTGTCCAACCTGGCCTTGGACACTTCCAGGGATGAAGTGTTAGAGACCCCTTTGCAGCTCCTGAAAGCAATTCCAGTTTGGGCAGGGAATGCTGACGGGTGATTTTTATTGCCCTCGGAGCTGGGGATACTCACTGTGTGGTTTTGGGGTCCTCACTGTGTATTTTTGGGGTCCTCATTGTGTATTTTTGGGACACTTGCTGTGTGTTTTTGGGGTACTCACTGTGTATTTTTGGGACACTCACTGTGTATTTTTGAGACACTCACTGTGTGTTTTTGGGACACTCACTGTGTATTTTTGGGACACTCACTGTGTGTTTTTGGGACACTCACTGTGTGTTTTTGGGACACTCACTGTCCGTTTGCTGGTGAGTAAAATCCAAAGCCGTTCCAAATGGATGTCCAGGAAGGTGCCAGGCAGATAAAACGCTCTGACCTGGATAAACCAGTGCTAAACCCCAGGGATTCAGGTGAACTGGACATTCCCAAGAGCCCCAGCAGTTCATTCCCTACACCCCAATTTCCCCTTAACGACTCTCCCATTCCATTTCCCGGGGAGAAAAACCCCGGGTGAGTTTCTGCCCAAAGAAGAGCTTTTCGGTCAGAAATGAGCGCTGGGTGCACAGATCCATTTCCCTGCCCCGTCCTTCCCTTCCATTTTCCATGCCTGCAGCACGAGGAGTGCTTTTCCATGCTTTTCCTGGGCTCCTCCTGCCGTCAATGGCACCATTGTGTGCCCGGGGCCCGGCGCTGGTGGCTCTTGTGTTGGCGTGAATCTGGAATGTCTCTGCAAAGTCAATGAGATCAGGTGAAACCAAGGCCGCCTTTTGACCCCTGGCTGTCAACAAAAAAGGCTTCTCAAGATAATTGCAGGAATACACGAGCGATAAAAAAGTTCCCCTATTTTAGTTTTGGAGCGGGGAATAATGGACGTCGCTGTTTGGCTGGATTGCTCAGACACTGGTGGTTAGGGAGAAAGAGGAAATTAATTTTATAGACCGTATCCACATTCTTTCTGCGTGGTGGAAAAAAAAAAAGAAAAAAAAGTCCCTTCCCATCCTCCTTATTTTAATTTTTCCTGGAGTGATATCAAGTTTTGCTGCGAGTTTTTTTGCAGTCTGGTTGTAAGTTTGTGGCAAAGAAATCAATAAGTGGCGTTTCTAGGGCAGTGTTGGGCTTTAATAAACTTCCACGGGGGGATGGCCCTGATCCCTGTCTATGGATTGACCTCTTCCCTCTGCCACCTTTATCCTCTTGGTGCCAGGGCTGGATGCTCCCAGCCCCTGCCTACCTGTGGCCTGTGATTCAGAGGCAAAAAATTTAAATCTTAAATTAATACGACTAGAGATGTAAGTGCCATTTGGCATACGGGGTGTGGAGGTGCCAGGAGGGCAGGAAAAGCTGTGTCAGGGGAGCAGATGCTCAGCCAGAGTGACCCTGGTAGGGCAGAGCTATACCAGGGAGATTTTGGGAGCAGGAGCACCATGTGTGAGCCCATGGGAAGGCTTGGTGGCCACGGGAAGGTCTTGGTGGCCACAGGAGCTGCTGGGTGACCCAAGGAGGTGCCCCTGCAGTGAACACAGCCTGGCACAGCCCCGGTCCCCACAGAGCCTGGATGAACCAGCCCTTTGGGAATGCTTTGAGGAAACTCCAGTATTGCCTT